ACTTAACCACTAAGCCACCGGGCCGGCCCAAAATTTATTTATTTATTTAGTGTGTGTGTGAGGAAGATCAGCCCTGAGCTAACATCCATGCCAATCCTTCTCTTTTTGCTGAGGAAGACTGGCCCTGAGCTAACATCCGTGCCCATCTTCCTAGCTTCTTCCTTTTGGTTGGGACCTGTTATTTATAGTTTCTTCAAGGGCAGATGGAGATAGCATGGATAAGGATGTCATACATGTTGTTGTTGGAAAGGATCTTAGATAGCATTTCGTCTCAGTTTTTGTTCAGCTGATGAAACTGAGACCCAGAAAGCATAAAAGACATGTCTGGGGTCCGACAGTATGTTAGTGGTAGAACTCCCAGTCCAAGGTTCTTTACACTTAGAGGGCACATCTTCTTTTTCTCAGCTTCTCACTTGAATCAGAAAAGATCACTTGCTCTGGATTCTCTTCCCTTATGGGCAGGTGGGGTGGGAGGTGAGAGGAGGGGGATGAGAAGAAGGCAGGGCTTACAGAAATTGACATGTCTTCTGCAGCTTCTGTGTTTTCCTTTACCTTTACCTAGAGTGGCCTGAACTCCAGCATGAAGTGCCGTGGGGAGCTGGTCACTGCTGGTGTTCGGTGATGGGCATTCATTTTCCCAATCTAGGTGGCTCTAGGTTGGCTCTCACCAAGCTGCTTGCCCTCCTCAGCCCCAGACCCACTGACTGATCCCACCTTGTCCTGCTGTCAGCCTGTTTACCAGGTTGGCTTTTTGGTGAAGAGACTGCATAGGGCAGAAAAAACATTAAAATCCCTCCTGGCTTGTTCCTGAACAATCCCGAGAATGCTACCTCAGCAATTATAGGGGAAAAAACGACTTTTCTCCTTGCTTCTCAGTATGCCCAGTGGGGCACTAGCTTGTCTCCTAGGCCTGTGGGTGTTATGGTTATCTCAGGTGTACATTTTTATCCTGCCCTCTCGTTTCCCACCTTCACACTTTCTTCTTTGCTCGTATCTGGAAGACCTCGAGACGTTAATGAGTAGATGATGGGGGGCCTGGCCCGAGAGAATTGCAGGTGATAGGTTTTCTGCGATCCCTGGTCATTCTGGTTCTCTCTCATACCGATTTTTCTGATAACAGAAAGGAAAGTTATCACCATGTACACCCAGGCGAAGGGCCTGGGGATGGTTCTTCTAGAGACTTGATGACCCAGAGTTGTTTCAGTTTGGGTAATTTCTGTTGATCTAGCTTTAAGTTTCATTGACTCTCTTCTCTGTCATCTCCATTCTATTCTTAAGCCCATTCACTGAACTTTTAAAATCTCAGATACTGCATTTCTGTTTCAAAATTTCCACTTAAATTTTTTTTTTTTCAGTTTTTCTGCCTAGTTATCATAACTGCTTTAATATGCTTGTCTGGTAATTCCAACATCTGGGTCATCTTGGAGTTGCCCTCCGCTGATTGTCTTTTCCCTTGCAAAGGGGTTTAATTTTTTGTTTTTTTTTAAAATGTAATTTGGGATTGTATCCCGAACATGAGTGAATGGGAATGTTATGTTGTGGAGACTCTGGTTTCCATGGATGCTTTTATTTTAGTAGACAGTTAACTTGGTTAGACTCAAAACTGCAGACTCTGTCTCACCTGCAGTCAGTGGCAGTCAAATCTCAGTCCAGTCCTTCTCTCTTTAGCTGAGGATCTTGGATTCAGTCCTGTGCATGCATGGTGCAGGGGGCAGCTAGAAATTTCGCCAGAGTTGACGTACAGAACCTGAAACTCTCCTTCTCTGGCTCTCTCCTTTCTTCCTTCCCACTGTCTGTGGTTGCTCGGACTCTATCTTCTGCTTCCTCTGTCTTCAGAAAGCCTAGGGTTTTTTTTTTTTTGAGGTGGATTGGCCCTGAGCTAACATCTGTTGCCAGTCGTCCTCTTTTTCTTTTTTTTCCTAAAGCCCCAGCACACAGTTGTATATCCTAATTGTAGGTCCTTCTAGTTGCTGTATGTGGGATGCTGCCTCAGCACGGCTTGATGAGCGGTGAGTAGGTCCGTGCCCAGGATCCAAACCGGCAAACCCTGGGCCGCTGAAGTGGAGCGTGCAAACTTAACCACTACACCACCGGGCCGGCCCCTAGGGTTTTTTGTTTTTGTTTTTTTAAATTTTATTTATTTATTTTTTCTCCCAAAGCCCCGGTAGATAGTTGTATGTCATAGTTGCACATCCTTCTAGTTGCTGTATGTGGGACGCGGCCTCAGCATGGCCTGAGAAGGGGTGCGTCGGTGCGCGCCCGGGATCCGAACCCGGGCCGCCAGCAGCGGAGCGCGCGCACTTAACCGCTAAGCCACGGGGCCGGCCCGTAGGGTTTGTTTTTTAATTGGAACTTCGGCTGGGCGACCCTCGGGTCAAAGCTCTGAAAATGGAGAAGTCATCCCAAGCCAGTCCCTTCTTCCAAGTTTCAACTTCTCTCTAAAATCTGCCAGTGTTTGTTCACTTCAGATAGTTATTTTTTGTATTTTATCCAGAGTTTATAGTTGTTATCTGTGGGAGGATCATCCTGGAAGCAGAATTCCCTACTGGCATTTTTATCCTTTATCAAAGTGTTTTGGGAACAGAAGTGTTACAGATTTGAGAGAGCTTTCGTCTGAGCAATCAAATGAGGACGGACTGATGCCTTTCCTCGGGTAGGGCTGCTTCACTGGAGTCAGGTGTTCACTTTAACTTGCTTTGCAGCCTTGGGCGAGTCTCTTCTCTCTGGGACTCACTTTCTCCTCTGGAAAATGAAGGGGTTGGACTCTCCATGATCTGTCAGGGTCCTCTCATCTCTGCTTCTAGACAGACAGACAGACAGACAGACACACACTACCACCACTGTCGCCCCAATAGTAACGACAAGAAGCCCCAGAAGAGATGCCCGAGGCTAGCGATGTGGGCGGATCTTTAGGGTGGAAAGCTCTCTGAAGGGGCAGCACTAATGAGTTTGAGGGTGTTTACAGTCGTCCTCTTGTTTCTGGGGACAGAGGGCCAGTACGCTGAAGATGCAAGAAAAGGAAGACGTTCAGAAGCAAAGGAAAGAAATCATCTGCTGCTTGCTTCTACCCCTTAGAAATAAGGAGAATGCAGACAGTTGAAAACAAATCAGGGTCATCTGGAGTTCCTGTTTGATTTTTGGCAGTGCATTCTATCCTGTTTTGGAGAATGGCCCCCTGGGCCTTAGTAACATGCCAGCACATTCAGCAGGGGTGCTGCCGTCCCTGTTCGTGCTGCAAAGACGTTAGTGGAGCCAGACCACATTCAGGTGCCCATTTCTTGCAATTTAGAACTTGTATGCAGGGGAAGTTCTGGGCTGTGCAGAGGAAGGGGTGTGTGTGTGTGTGTGTAAGGTCGGGGGAGAGGGGGAGAGAGATAGGTGGTGGGTGGGGGCAGGACAGAAGGTCTGTGGGCCAGTTCTGAAGCTGTTTGAATAGCAATCACACTTATTCTACTTAGACTGACTCTTTATTTTTAAAGTGTGTGTGGGAGGAGGGAGCTAGTGAAGCTTCTCCCACACCCACCTGAGCCATCACTTGGGTGCTGCCCTTGCTACAGATCCTTTTTCTCTGCTTCTTTTCTGGCTACTTTCATTGCTTATCAGTAATTAATTTCTGGGCTGGCCCCGTGGTGTAGTGGTTAAGTTAGGTGTGCTCCGCTTTGGCAGGCCTGGTTCATGGGTTTGGATCCCGGGCGCAGACCTATACCACTTGTTGGTGGCCATGATGTGGCGGCGACCCACACACAAAATAGAGGAAGACTGGCACAGATGTTAGCTCAGGGTGAATCTTCCTTACCAAAAAAAAAAAAAAATAATAATAATAATAATAATAATTCATTTCTCTTCAGGTCTTGTTGGCTTGAGGCTTCAGGCCCAAACGATCATTTTATTATTTCTCCATCTTAATTCTAGCCTTCCATCTCTCTAGGAGGATGGAGATGGGGATGGATGCCATTGTGTGTATGTTCTGCGGTTGGTGGTGGAGGTGCGGAAATCAGATGAAAGGGACCAGGAGCCTTGGAAGGAGGTCACAAGGTGGTCTGCGGGCTGTGTGAGGGAGGTGGGCAGCTGTGATGAAAGGAGGGGACAGTTGGAGTGTAAGACCACATGCAAAAGCTTTAGTTGACCACTAGCTTAGAAGCTGTCTTTCCATTCTTGCTCCAGACTGAGATGGAAGTCTGACCCAGATCTTCCGGTTCCAGTAACTCTGCTCTGATTTGAGGGGTAAGACTCAGTGGGTTAATAGGCTTTCCAGCTTTCCTGTAGAAGGCTTGGTACAAAACTGCAGGGTAAGTTTGCAGACAGAAGAGCTCTGTTTTGAGTTCTAATTGATATTGGCTGGTTTAGGGCCTTTTGAGGACCAAGTCTGGAAGGCAGCGCCGTGCGAGTCAGCATGGTGAAGGGGTTTTGTAGCCACACAGACTCAGGTTTACATCCTGACAGCCAGGTACTAGCCAGCTGTAAGACTTTGGACAAGTCACTTGACTTCTTGGAATTTAGACTCTATTTGTAAGGAGGTAACATTATTCTGTTATTGTCTTATATAAAACATAAAACATATTGCCTGGGCTGTGGTGGATACTCCACAGATGTTTGGTTTTTTTCCTTACCCGTCTTTCCAGAACATCTTATTTTTAGTAGAATCCCGGCTTTAGCCGTAAGCAATTGTGTGACTCACCCTTTCCGAGCTTCGGTTTCCTTCTTTAAAATGAGGGCATTTAACTAGTTGATTTCTGAGGTCCTTCCCAGCTGTGAGATGTCGTAGGAATTTTTAGACTGTTGGGGAATGTGTAGATCTGTTAATTTAAGGAAAGGCAATGTAGTCTACCCTACGACCATGTGACGTGATGGGAAGGGGGACGTCTCCTGGAGCCAAACTCCTCCTCTTCCCTGAGAGAGAGACAGCCGGCTGCCCTCAGACTCAGGATGTGGCCTGCGGCCTGTCTCGCCTCCACGTCGACCCTGCACTGTGTGTGAAGGTCTTCAGGACAGGCTTTTGGGCCCACTCAGTCTTGGTGTGATGTGTGTTTCACCTGCCCATTCCTTTCTGTTTGTGTTCTGTCCAGGTCAAGAGGCAACTACCATTGAAAGATAGCGACTGTTTCCTAGACAGCCAACATCGAGGAGCAGCCAGAAGTGGTGACGGAAAGCTTATTACCTAAATGGTAGGTATGTTGTACAGTGACAGCTGACCACACCGATAGAATTGGGTGGTTTCTGAAGTCTCTACAGTTTTTCCACCATTACAAAGAGGGAGGAAAGTCAGTATTTGTGGATGACCTATTATGGACAAAATACTGTGCCTAGTACTTCACTGAATCAAGCAGCCAACTGAATGAGGGTAAGAATCCTTGCCTGAAGTCGACAACCTTCAGAAATAGGCCTGGCCACCATTTACTGAATACCTGTTCTGTGCGGGGCACAGTCCTGTTTGACATACATTATCTCCCTTAATATTTACACCAACCCTGTGAGGTAAGTGCTGTTATTTTTACCACGACGAAATGAGCGTAGAGGGGTTAAATAACTTTTCCAAGTTCGTACAGGTAGTATGTGGTAGGACTAGATTTCAAACCTGGGTTATTTTCATTGTACTGTGATGTTTCTCTTCTGAGAAAGTTACTTTTTTTTTTTTTTTTTTTGCTGAGCAAGATTCGCCCTGAGCTAACACCTGTGCCAATCTTCCTCTATTTGTATGTGGGTCGCCACCACAGCACGGCCGCCGCCGAGTAGTATAGGTCCACGCCTGGGAACCAGGCCGCCGAAGTGGAGCGTGCTGAACTTAACCACTAGGCCACGGGACCAGCCCCGAAAAAGTTACTTTTTGGTTGCAGCAGTGACTAATTTAATCCTTAAAAAGGAAAGCAAAATAAACAAAAAAACCTATTGATCCACAACTAGCTCCTTTTCCTAGCCCTGTCTGGATTCTGTGAGCCAGTATTTCATTGGTTGTTGTTGAACGGGGTGGTGGAGCTCCTAATGAAATAGAAGAAACCTGAATGTGAGTGGCAGAGGACCACGAGGTCTTGGTCACCAGTTGTAGCTGATAGTTGTACGAGAAAGGTTCTCTGGGAAGGCAGAGCCATTGGGCAACCCAAGAATGAGTCTGGGAACTGGGTTCTATGCATAGGAGTGACTGGAGGTAGGCAAGGAATTTTAGCAAGACTGCTCACTCTCATGGTATCCCGCCTGGCAAGTAGTTAGAGTTAGGGATGGTACAGGCTCTTCTGGAGGGAGTGGGAAACTTCGAGGCAAACTCTTGCCCTGTTAATTGGTTCTGGATCCTAGTTCTGTTCCTTTCCTGGGAGCATTTTTCCTACCTTAGGGAACTGAGTTATGAAATTAGTTTCTGGTTGGACGGTGTGGCAGGCAGGATTCATTTGTCATTGACCTTTCTGATGATACTTTAGTCTCTTTTTATTGGATCACTAATGTTTCTTTAAATATACTTGGTGAATTTGGGGGGGGGAAATAATCATTTTCATCAACAAAACTGATTACACATACCTCTATGTATAATGATTGTTTTGCTATATACAGGGGCTTATATTCTGATGATGAAGTTGACCACTTACTTCATGCCTAGTACAGTTCTTGGAGCTAAGTACACAGCATTAAACAAAACAGAAAGTCCTTGCCTCCAAGGACTATATTCTAATGAGTAGAAACAGATAAAAAATAAATGAATAACTAGATATAAACAAACACATAAATAGGTAAATAGATAAATAACGCCCACTAGGTGATATGTGCTCAGCAGAACAAAAGCAGGGTAAGGTGCTAGAGAGAGATGGGGGCTGAGGGATTGCCACTTTCTATAAGGTGATCAGGGAAGCCCTGACGAGGTGATATCTGAAAGAAGTGAGGAGTCCAGCCAGGGAGATGTATCTGGGAGAAAAGCATCCTGGGCAGAAAGAACAGGGAGTGTAAAAGCCCTGAGCTGTGAGTGTGACTTGTCCTGTCCCAGGGCCACGAGGAGGCTAGTGTGGCTGGGGTGTAGAAACGGGGAATGACCAGTAGCAGAGGAGAGCAGAGAAGTGGTGAGACCAGATCATGCAGCACCTGAGAGCCCGGGCAAGACCTGTGGAGGGCATTTTATTCTAGGCAAGACGAGAGCCACTGGAGAGTGGACAGCAGAGGAGGGACAGATCTGATTTCTGTTTTATTATTATTATTTATTTATTTTTTCCCCCAAAGCCCCAGTAGATAGTTGCATGTCATAGCTGCACATCCTTCTAGTTGCTGTATGTGGGACATGGCCTCAGCATGGCCGGAGAAGTGGTGCGTCGGTGCGCGCCCAGGATCCGAACCCAGGCCGCCAGCAGCGGAGCGCGCGCACTTAACCGCTAAGCCACGGGGCCGGCCCTGATTTCTGTTTTAAAGGCTCCTCTGGTTGCTGTGGGGATAGACTGTGGAGGGTGGGAAAAGGTGGGCTCTGGAAGCAGCAGGGAGAGCAGTTGGGAAGCCGTTGCAGTAGTCAGTAGTCCAGGGGAGGGATGATGGTGGCTCAAACTAAGCTGGTTGTGGTGGGTAGCCAGAAAGTAATGGATTCTGGACATGTTTTGAAGGCAGAGTTAAATTCTAATTTGCACCATATGGCCTGCAAAAGAAATGAAAATTGAGCCCTATATTTAGATTATTAAAAATTAATTAGATTTAATAGCAGTTTATTTGAAAAAAATTCAGTATGAACCTACGAACTGGTAATGTGGCTGCCAGATCAATGTGTACAGTCTTGGCTTCGTTACTAAAACTGGGTCGACCGGGTCATCTCTCAAATCCACCCCCACCCCTTTACCCCATTGCTTCTGTCAGAGTTTAGGCCCTTACCAGATCTCTTGCCTCGACTAGTACAATAGCACCTTAGTTTATCCTGTCAGAATGTTCTTTTAAAAATGCAGTTCTGATTATGTTACTTCCTTGCTTAAATCCCTTTGTCCAAAACAGGCTGCAGATTTGCTTCCCATATCCATTGTTTGCAGGCATGTAATGTGTTTTGGAGGGTCTACACAGTGGTGTTATTTTTATTTCCTTTTTAAAAAAATTTGGAATTAGTTGACTCCATTTGAGAAGTTTCATATAAAAGTAAAGCATGATCTCCCCTCTTAGCCACCATCCTCCCAGCCCTCTGTTCCTCATTTCCATTACTGACCTGATGTCTTTGGTATTTGCCTGTGCAACTTGGGCATAAAGGCTAAGCGTCTTTCCTAGAATATAGTGCCCAGATCTGACACCAGTTCCCTAGGTGTAGTTCGGCCAGTACAGAATACAATAAGACCACTACCTTCATTCATTTACCAAACATTTAAAAAGTTCCTACCTTGTCCCATCGTGGTATTCAGTGCCCAGGACAGAAAAATAAAGATGGCACAGTACCTGCTCTCAGAGCTTGGAGCCCGGTAGAGGAGTACAAATAGATAGGCAAGTGAGTATCGTGGGCACAGTGATAGAAATATCTGCACAGTTGAGGGTAGTGCATTTTTGTTGGGGGAGCGGCTGTTTGAAAAGGCTTCAGAGAACAGGTGCCCCAGTGAAAGATGTTCACCATCAGAGTGGGGCGGAGGAGGCCTGGATGGAAGAGGACAAGGGCGAAAGGGGAATTCTAAACTCCCCCCAAATTATTCCTCAAACGTTACCACCGCAACCTCTGCACTTGCACTGAGATTTCAAGGGCTTCTGTGTCGCACCCTGTCTTCACTCCAGCCTTACCAGTTACCTGCTGTGCTTGGCCCCTTGTGCCTCTCGTTTCAGTCCTGCTGAATTCCTTACAGTTCCCCAAATGCAGCATTGTTTTCTTTGCCCCTTTCCTCCCTCCCTCCATCCCTCCATCCCTCTCGCCATCTCTTCATCCCTCCCTCCCTCCTTCCTTTCCTCCTTCCTTCCTTCCCTCTCTCCTTCCTTCCTTCCTTCCCGCCTTCCCTTCCTCCGTCCCTCCCTCTTCTAAACAATTATTTTACACCCTTCACGTACCAGACACTGTTCAAAGTGCTGGAGAGACAGCAGTACAAACAGCTACAAATCCAGGAAACCACGTTCCTGCCCTCACTGATCTTACATTCCTGTAGAAAGAGTCAGACAGTAAACAAGTTCACAAGTACTCAGGTGGTTAAATGTGCTAAGAAAAAAATTGAGAAGGAGATCTTCCCTTAGAGCTGTCCAGAGACGGAATGAGTTGCCTTGGGAGGAAATGAGTGGCCTTCCTGTCATTAGAAGTGTTTGAGTAGGAGCTGGATGACTGCTTGCTAGATAACTTCTGCACTGGGCCGGCCCGGTGGCTTAGCGGTTAAGTGCGCGCGCTCCGCTACTGGCGGCCCGAGTTCGGATCCCGGGTGCGCACCGACGCACCGCTTCTCCGGCCATGCTGAGGCCGCCTCCCACATACAGCAACTAGAAGGATGTGCAACTATGATGTACAACTATCTACTGGGGCTTTGGGGGAAAATTAAAAAAAAAAAAGAAATTTAAACTTCTGCACTGAGTGGAGGTTGGATCAGATGATCCCTAAATCCCTTCTAACCTGGAGAATCTCTACATGCTAGTTGGGCTACTAACCCTGAGGTTTGCATATCTAAAATACATGACTTTGGATTCTGGAAAAATTATTGAAGCCCAGTAATTAGAATAGAGACACTCAAGAAGTGGTGGTAAGATGTGGACAGGCTAAGGTTTTAAGATGGGTAACTAGAAATGGTCGGGAGGAAGCTGCTTAAAAATAGTTCTCCCATTCCTCAAAGAATTAAAAATAGAGATGCCCTATGACCCAGCCATCCCACTACTGCGAATCTATCCAACGAACCTGAAATCAACAATCCAAAGAGGCTTATGCACCCTTATGTTCATTGCAGCATTATTCACCATAGCCAAGAAGTGGAAGCAACCTAAGTGTCCCTCGACTGACGATTGGATTAAGAAAATGTGGTGTATATATACAATGGAATACTACTCAGCCATAAAAAAAGACAATCGTCCCATTTGCAACAATGTGCATGGCCCTGGAGCGTATTATGTTAAGTGAAATAAGCCAGAAAGAGAAAGACAAACACTGTATGATTTCACTCATATGTGGAATATAAACCAGCACATGGACAGAGAAAACTGTATTGTAGTTACCAGGGGCAGTGGGGGTGGGGGGTGGGCACAAGGGGTGAAGGGAGACATATATATG